GATTATATAGGTGTAAAAATGAATAGGAGTGCTATAAATCATGCTTGTTGGAACTCTTTTATGAATGTTTGATTAACTTATATTTTGTTGGAAAGTAGAATGTTGACAATGAGCTGCGAGATGGATTATGCTTGTGATGATCTCTATTTGGCATTTTTGCATATGCTTGGTGGCGGGACATGAATTCATTTGATTGTTTGTAGGGATTACTGTTTGACAGGGAAGCATACAGGCTATGAAAATCAAGAGGTCATTAGCTTAGTTTCTTAAATGACCTAGGATCCGGTCCTTATTTTCGTAGCCTTTACTTTCATACTCATAAAGTTTGTTGCTTGTGTTGGTATCTTGATAATGGCATTTAGTTTAATTTTGTACGAACATTTTTTATTTGTTTCAGTTTCCTTTTTAATCCAAAAATATTTAGCTATTATTATAAAGCGTATGTCGCTTAACGGACATCTTATATTTTTCCATCCATATTATTTTTAAAACCCAATTTTCAAAAACAAAAACTAGTGCATGTGTTGGTGCCTAGTGCACCTCCATAGAGTTATTAGTGACTCATTTAGAATTGGAAATTCGAACATTTTTTAGGAGGTTTACTGTCATTATTATGACAGCAAGGTTGGTGGCTGATTAAATTTGGGCTTGGCAAGGCATCTGAGTCAATAAGCCTAAGAAGCTTTTATCTCCTATCCTCTTGGCTACCTTCTAGGTTATTTGGAAAGGAAAGGAATAAAAGGGCGGGCTTTTGGGGGTACTGATCCTATATTAGTTTTGGTTCAAGACCCTCTACATTCTGATTAAGGGCCATCCTCTTTTCTTTGCTGAGAACTTAGGGAACCTTATTGATAGTTTAATTGGTTTGTAAACCTTGCTATAATTGGGTTAAACCCCTCGATGTGGTGTTAATATAACCACCCTTTCAAAAACTTTTTTGCTGAACTTTGATGATACCTACATGCATGCCAAAAATGGAAAATATTTTTGCAACGTTACTCAAACAACAGAAAAAAATTTCACTTTTTCCTTCATAAAGTCATTTCCACAAACTAACTGAGTCATTAACAGTTAGCAGCAAGAAAACAATAACAAAATCCCTGAGACACAAAAAAAGAAAGGCCTTAGGTTTGCCACAGCGAGGAAACTCAAGCCTAAGAAATGATCAAGTTGTTACAATCTGTACTGCCATAAGTTGTTTAGTTAATTGCCACTGCTATTGTTTGGACTTTTTTACATTTCAAAGCTTATTGTATGGAGTTCTTTTATGACTTTTAGGGTGCACATGGCTTCATGAAGACAAATAGATGGAAGGATTCGGTTGGTGCTTTTATAGATGTGGAAGCATCTGGGACAGGAGGTCTTGGTAGGCTATACCTATTGCTATTTCTGCAAAATTTAAAAATTTGAAGATAATAGAACATATCAACTTTCTTTTATCTTAGTAGTTAAGTTGCTTGATGTTGTCTGGAAAAGGTGTTTCTTGTCTCGAATAATTCATTTATAGCATAAAAAATTCATTTAGAATATTTTTCATTCCTCTAGTTTTTTAAATGAAGTGAGTCCATAGCTTTTTTTTTTTAAATAACAAGTGTAAGAATATCATTTAGGTATTGGCACCATGAGTGTCATTCCTATAGTCTGGTCTCGAATCATTCATTTACTACTTGTGGATTAGTCTAGAATTTGTTCTTTTATGTTTAATTTACGTGTCCTGTTAATTGCGTCATAAAGTGATGTAAGATCTCTTTGTTGAGTTGTTCTCTTTTGAAAGTGTAGATTTAGTCTGTCAATCTGGACCTGGTTCTTGGCCTTCCCATTTATATGCTCAATCAGCTGTGTATCCCATGGCACATAGTGCTGCTCAGGTCTCTCTCTCTCTCTCTCTCTCTCTCTCTCTCTCTCTCTCTCTCTCTCTCTCTCTCTCTCTCTCTCTCTCTCTCCCTCCCCCCAACCCCTCACATTGTTAGTTTAGTCTAAAACCATTTGATTGGTGTCACTTATCACTTGATATTTTCTGTTGACTCTTATTCTGTCCTTGAATGATGAAATAAGATCCGCTGTCTCATAATCTCAAATATTGCTTCAATAATATTTACACTCTGTTATTAGGTTTTAATTGTGAAATCCATTTATTCTGCCTCTCAAATTCAGTCCTGTTCCTTCCTTCCCTAGACCTTTTCTTCCTTTGTTGCCATGCCTTACTTATGCTGCTGTATTGACTGGCTTTAAGTGAAATAACTAAACAGTCTAATGCTCTTTTTTCCAGGATGTTTTTCCTGTTATTCCTGGTGACACAGATTACAGAATATTTTCCCAAGATTATGGCAGTATTCCTGGCCTGGATATTATCTTTCTTCTTGGTGGTTATTATTACCATACATCCTATGACACAGTGGATAGACTATTGTATGCTTTACTTCTGCTACTTTGGTACATATTTACTTATATGATTTTGATTTTGATATATTTTGCCCTTAAGCATGTTGGTTTGATGGAACCTCATTAAACCAGACCTGGAAGCATGCAAGCACGTGGAGACAATTTATTCAGTGTTCTCAAGGCATTCACCAATTCTTCTAAGCTCAAGATTGTCCATGAAAGAGGATCCCTTGTGGCTAATGCTGATTATAACAAAGAGGAACGAGCTGTTTTCTTTGATTACTTAACTTGGTTCATGGTATGCTATAATAGGCGGGGAAATTGTGCTTTTTGTGGCTTCTATTTAGATGACAAATAAATCAATTATTTAAGTGGTATTTTATTTCTTCTGTGGTGATTGTTAATCTTTCAGGTATTCTACTCAAAAAAGGTAGCTTTGGTACTTCATACTACTCCTCTTGCTATCTTCCTTGCTATGCCATTCTTTTTGTGTTTGCTAAATCCTGGGTTACGGTCTTGGTATGCAACCTTCTGGGATTTTCTGAAAGGTAGAAACCTTTCTGCTGATTTGTGTATTTTGAATAGTTGCGATTTTCCATCTTTATTGTTAGTTTTGCCATATCTAGGTTGCATAGGTGTTTTTTCCATGTTACAATTTTTTTATATTAACTCCATAATCTACAGAATTTCCTCATAATAGAAGCAAAGTTTTAAATTTGCAGGAGTAATGCTTCATGCATCCGGGATTATACTTGCTATTGTGTTTCCCGTTGCCTTTTCAGTCTTCAGATTGCAGTTCTCCAGTTATAGTATGAGCTGGTTAGATCTTTTTCAATAAAACTAGTTTCTTGTTATGCTGTTTTCATATAGTTCTATATATGTATGGATCATAGGTTTTTTTTTTTTTTCTAATTTTGAAATAGGTTACTCTAGGACTTGTAAGTATTGCTGAGACATGTTGACATGGTGGAATCAAAATGCAGGTTCTCAAATCCATACTTGGCTTTTATGCTGTTCGTTCCCTGCTCGCTTGTTGGTTTGTTACTCCCAAGACTTGTTTTGAGTTATTTCCCACCTTCAAAGGATGTTAGGACATCAAAAGAGGTAGAATTTTGATTTGATTGTTCCTTAGTAATGTTGATGAGGCCAAGTTTGTCATAGAAAACATGAAATCTTATGTTTATCTTGCAGCCACTATCTGAAGAAGTGAGGTTTTGGGGAGCTTTTGGATTTTATGCTTTGTTTACTTTGGTATGTAGTGCAATGAATACTTGTCAGATAAAATATAACCTTTAAGATGTGTATGTTATACATCATGTAAGTTACAATGGTTAATCAACTTATGAAACAGGCTTATCTTGTTGCTGGGCTGAGTGGTGGATTCTTGACTTTCCTCTTGTCAGCTTTCATGCTTCCTGCATGGATCTCCTTCCGCCTATCTGTCAGGTCTTTTGGCCATCAATCACTCTGGTATGGCTTTCAATTATTTAGGTTTAAGTTTTGCATGTTAACCATTAAAGTGCATTATTTCTTTATATCAAATTTATTTATATAGAAGAATTATCTATATCATTTGCTGCTTAAAAAAAGAAAATCTATGTCATTAGCTTCTTGGTAGTGTCAAGTCAAGAGAGTCTTAAAATATTGTTAGCATATTAACAATATGAATACACTATTTTTATTGGGGGAAGCTATTGATTTTGTGGCACAGTAAGTTATTGTACATCAAGAATCTTTTTTAATTTGCTAATCTCGAATAGAATCTTTTTAATTTTATGGAAATAAAGTTCGTCCTGATTTGCTTGTGCTTATTATTATTTCTTTAGCATCAAAATCCAGATCTTATATGAAAAAGTTAATTAATCATATGAAAAAAAAAAAAAATTAAGACCTGATATGCTGAAAGTTGTTTTTTCCAGGTCAGCAATATTTTACGTGATGCCTCTAGTACCGTGCCTTTTATACGCAGTTTATTTTGGTGGTTTTCTTATACAATTTTTTATAGAGAAGATGGGCATGATGGGAGCAGTTCCACCCCCATATGGTTAGTCTTTCTGAACTTTTTTTAATTCTGGTTTGTATTTAGAAG